ACATTACTTTCTTTCAAATTTCTTGTAAATGTTAGATAAAAAGATATCACCTTATGTGCTTCTTGACACCAAAAGCTAACAAGAGGTCTCCACTGATGTTCATTAACAGTTATTGGTCTACCTTGTATAATTTGTTCTAGAGATCTCTGTTCAGGATTGAAATGTTCTTTCTTCAACTTAGATTTGTAGGCTCGCCACCTATTGTTTACAGTTCTTAAGATCCAATCTCTTGTAAGCTGTAGCGTTTGTCTAGGAAAGACAAATTTTGACTGTACAAAGAAAAAGTAAATAGTTGATGATTGGAACAAACAATAGTGTACTTTTCTAGCATTGTACAGATTACATTTACCTCAACATCCATGATTATTAGTTCCTTGTGTTTATTGAATAGAACATTGTCCCATCTTTGAATGTGTAATGGCGCAAATGTTTGTGTTTGTGCTAGATCACCAAGGTGTTGTCCAAGAACAGAGGCTGACCTTTCATTTGGTACACCATTTTCATTGGTCCCTACAATTACCTTTCCTCCTTTTAGTTTTGATAAGTCTGAGACTCCAAAATCTCCTAAAACTTGTCGCACCTGTCCATTAGGCCCTACATGTATGAAATTATATTATTTGACATTGTATTTAGATGTGTCACCAAAACAAAAATCAAACTTACATATTATCTTGATTGGACTTGCACGTCGGTTTGGCATGTGGGCTAATATATTGTCAACATCTAGAGGACCTTGTAAATTCTCCTCAATCTCATTATCTACCAAATCATCAGGCTCCTGTTCCTCATGTCTTTCATCTTGTGCTTCAAGGTTCAAGTTTCTTAATCGTCGAGGTCCTCTTGCCATGATTTCTACTGCAAAAGAGCAGTTTTAGTTTGCTACTCAACAAACAGATAACCAAGAAAAGTTTCAATGCTGATCGTAAATCACATAGTGCACTCATAAGATGTCGCACGGAACCAACACAGTGAGAACCATACATACAGAGGGGGAAATGAAGAACATGAATCTTTCTGACAGGAAAAAGAGAGATGGATAAGTATAAATTTGTAGCGCTGACTGCGCTCTAGTAATCTACACAATGGGATCATTAGATTTTCACAGAGTGACAAAACCGAATAAAGAGAAGTCATAGAGCCAAATAATTACTCCATACAAAATCCACGAGTCAAATAACTACTCCATACAAATTCTGAGAAATCATAAAGCCAAATAATTACATATAGTTAATAGATGTTTCATGGAGTAAATTTAGATCAATTTTATACAAAATCGTGTAACACTAAAATACAAACAGAATCATAAACAATGTTATATGTTTTCATATAAGAAATAAAATTGTCTTTTTTATAAGAATTGTTCAGAGCTCATAACTGAGGTTGAGTCCTATGTTCACGAAAGAAATTCTACTAAATTCACATGTACATGTTTCGATCTATCATAAATAAATGTGTTCTAGACAAATAGGACATGGATCAAAATATGCATACGACAACTATTTAAGATGTGAAAATCAGAGAATCTGCAGTACTTTATTTTAGAGACAAAATCTAATACTGAGGAAGCAGGCAGTAGGGGCACCGGGCACCGCGGGGGCGGGACGGTCGGCCGCGCCCAGGCTGCCGGTCGGGGTACGAATGCGCGTTCGCAGAGGCTGGACTGCCGGAAGCAGAATAACAGAGAGGAGCGGCGGGGACGGCCTGGGCAGCTGGAGCCCTGGCTCTGGCTGTGGCTGCTGGCCAGCCGGTCGCTCGGTCTGGGAGGCGCTGGAGAGTGGAGATCAGGTGAAGGCCAGGAGGGGAGAGGCTCACCGATGGCAGATCAGGACTAGTCGACGACCGGCGGATGGCCTGCGCCGTCCGAGGAGCGGCCAGGCCTTGGGCAGTTGATGCGTCGGCGTCGAGGAATTTGGGGTGCAGGTGTGCCGCACTAACGCATGCTGCGGTCTCGCAAATGTGGAGACGGGAAGGAGTGGGGGAGGTTAATAGATGCGTTTTTTCGGTAATCTCACGCCGTGGGGGTGATTTAGGCGCGAAATTAAAATGTTCGAGCCCTCCACTACGCGGCAAGTTTTTGCAATTGTACACTACAAAATAGGCGGCAAGACAAAATACGTTCATACTGATCGAGTAGTGAAGCCGGCTATCACTGCCAATTCAGACCACAACCTAGTAGCGATATGACATGATAGAGCATGCATAAGTTGTTGAAACACTTGAGGAGTTAGCACATTTGAAAAGGGGTGAAAAACTAAGTGTTTGGAGGCTTTTGGTAGGCACCGGATATAACTCCGGTGGTGATTAGGACATACCTCCTTCGGATGCACCCACCGATCCTCCAACCGTTATGCAAGGTCCAATGACTCGAGCTCTCGAAATGTGACAACTAAATTTATAGGTGACCTCATTCTTAAACGATCCTTTGTATAGTTTTGAGAATAGATTACTACCTAACGGTGTTATCCTATTTAGAAACATTGAAGAGGGTCATGTAGGACTTGGAGGAAGGTGTGGAGGCGGAGAAGACTAGCAAGGACGCCCAACATAAGCTGGAGGCCCAGTTCAACTAGACTTCGAAGTTATCATCACCTGACACCGTCAGACTGGACAATGATTGATAGAGACCAAGTTACTATAGTGCACCATCTTTATCTCAGAATGGCATTGCCTTATTAGTATTATATATGATAGCCCACTTAAAATCCTATTGTGCAGTTTGTTTTCACTGGTATATACTTTGTAGCAATGAAAATGCCCCGAATTTATTATGTATAGAATGAGTAATGTGAATGATAGGATTCTGTACCAGATTGTTCCTATGGTTAGTATGGCACACGTTGCCTGATGTATGATGATGATGCAACTTTGCATGGTTTACTTTTGCTATTGCCGTGCGAGCCCATGGTAGAAATCATTACGATTTGCAGGCAAGTAATAAAGAATATATAAGATATTATATTATGAGATGCTCAAATATTGACACATCACTTTGGGTCAAAACTTGGCCCATGTAAGCCAAAAGCCCACACCAAACCCTCACCCTCCTGCTTTCCCCTGCCTCTGCTCTGTGCCGCTAGCTTCTGCTCGGCGCCGCCCGTGTTCACGTCGGCGAGGAGGGCCGAGTTCCAGCCGACTTCCTTGGAGCGGAACCCGAGCCCACGCCCGCGTGGCGCGCCACAGGCCAGCGCACCCGATCCCGGAGGCCGGAAAGGAAGACGCCCGTGGCCCTGACGAATCCCCCGGCTCCCCTGCTCTGTGCCTCCGACACGCCGCCGGCCCCGAGGTCAGTGGCCTTGAGATTTTCCTTTGCTTTTGAGATTCCAACTGACGATTAGCTAGCTTGCTGTGTTGAATTTGCTTCGCTATGTGAGGGATTAGCTAGGACCATAGTGTTGGTTTCTGAAACTACACCGACGCCGACTGTCCGTACGTGTTCGAGACTCCAAGCTGACGACCGAGTGCCGAGCGACCGTCGACCAAGCAAAAAAATTTGGACCCACCACTAGAGCAGTAGCTCATGCTCAGATTCAATGGCGGGTCAAACACGTAGCCCAGATAGACGCAAGACTATCATGAAATTTGCCCAAGAATCTACTACTACTTATCATTTTAAGGCCCACGAGTATTGTTTTTTCCCCTCAAAACAATTCAAGGTCCACGTGTGAAAGCGTCCTCAACTATGGAAGCATGCTTCTTTTAGCATAACTACGGAAGCATGCTGGCTGGCCAAATGTTTCACGGGCCGTATCTAATATGGCCCATACGTGCCGGATACACGTATCTAAGTGAATACGTATCCAACATTTTGAGTACGGCCTGGATACGTATCCATGGCTTATCCGAGGCCTATCTGTATCCGTGGCGTGCGTGTCGGATACGGGATATCCGCGCATCACAGCCCATGCCCCGTCGGTCGACCCCGGACTCCCCGAGCCCCTCGATCGGCGCCGCTTCTTTCCTTCTCGATCTGGTAACTCCATCTTTTGCTGCACAGTGTTTATAGAAACTTTTTGCATATAGCTGTACAGAAGTCAATATTCCATTATATACAAGTAACAGTGGCAAAAGGTCTGTACTGGAATTATGTCAACAAGGGAAAAAATCATTGAGAAAATATGGACTACTAAAGAAAATATGCAATACAAAATCTGGGTGCTGCATTGCAGAAGTCTGTAGATCAACAGAATATTATTTGATGGTTATTGCTAAGCTGAATGAATCAAATAAGAAAGACAAGGGGGAAAGCAGTCCTGGCTTGCACCCCCCCACCTGATTACTATAAGATTAATTGTAGTGATGCCTCCTCCTTATGCTATGATTCCATGAAAGGAGCAGGGGATTCCATTGCCCGTAACTGCAGCAGAGAGAGTTCTGGAAACTTGCAATTGCAGACTCTCTACATGACTTTCTTTTTTTCTAAAGTGGAATAATTGCAGACTCTCAAAACTCATATTGTATGGTTTAATTCACTACTGATATTAATCTGCCTCAGATATGCTTTCTTTTTACTAAATGTCTAAACTTTGTATATTTTTATGCCTTGTGTTAATGTGAAATTGTGTCATCGTTTTCATTTAGTCATGGTTGAGCAACTTGGACTCGATCATGGTTAGTTTGAGTACTCAAATTAAGGAAGTTAGTTCATCTACCATAGAAACTAATAATCTTAATTAATTTTGTTGCTGCCAGTCAAGTACTATTTTTCGTACTCAAACATGTCTTGCAAAAGAAAAAAACTGATTGATTTCATTTCATTCTTACTTCTTGTTAGAGGGTCATGGATCGAAGTTGGATGAGTAAGCCAAGACAGGATACTGCATATCAAGATGGTGTTGAGCAATTTTTGACTTTAAGCTTACGGGACATTCCACGTGATAGCGAGATACTTTGTCCTTGCAAAAATGCAAAAACAGATTAAACCATAGCCATGATGAAGTCAGGACACATTTGAGATGTGATGGTATTATTCAAGGTTATCGACCTGGGTTCATCATGGAGAGATGTATGAAAGTCCACAATTTGCATTTGTTGACGTGCCAACTGACACTACAAACTTGCCTACTTCGGGTGTCTCAAGGGCTCCTGCAGTACAAGATGGCATGCAAGAACTACTTCAAGCTGCCTTTTTCAGGAATGAAATGTTTGAGTCACTACCAAGTATGTCTGAAGGTGTAGTAGATGTTGAATCAGGATTTGCAGATATGGAACAAACTGTAGCTGAGGATGTGCATCCTGCAGATGACAATGCTAAGGAGAGTGAACAGAATCTATATGAAAGATACTTGAAGGATGCACACACAAGCTTATATCCTGGGTGTAAATTTTCTAAGTTGTCATTTTTGGTAAACTTATATCACTTAAAATGCTTAAATGGCTGGACACAAGAATCATTTACAAGACTTCTAGGTGTGCTATCTGATTCATATCCTCCTCATGTAGACCTACCTAAGACATATTATCAAGTGAAGAGAATCATCCGTGCTTTAGGCCTTGACTATGTGAAAAGACATGCTTGCCCCAAAGATTGCATGCTTTTCCGAGGAAGTTCAGCTAAGAAAGATTTTTGTGATGTGTGCCAGAGCTCTCGCTGGAAAGATTTTAAGAAGAATGGTTCTACAGTTAGACCTAAGAAGAAAAAGAAACCAACGAAAGTGTTGCGCTATTTTCCATTGATACCGAGGCTCCAAAGGTTATTTTCAAATACCAAAACTTCAGAAGACATGAGATGGCATGAGGACGGACGCACAAAAGACGGAAAAATGCGACATCCAGCGGATGGTGAAGCTTGGGAAGATTTTAATCGTAGATATCCTAAATTTGCAGCAGATGCTCGTAATGTACGCCTTGGTCTTGCAAGTGATGGATTTAACCCTTTTGGGAATATGAGTTCAAACTTCAAAGCACAGTACATGCCCTGTAATGCTGGTTCCTTACAACTTGCCACCTTGGATCTGCATGAAGCAAACATCCTTACTGTTGTCAATGATCATTCCTGGACCGGATTCTCCGGGGAATGATGTTGATATATACTTACAGCCCTTGATCGATGAGCTCTTAGAATTATGGAAAGGAGTGCAAACATGTGATGCCTCTTCTCGAAAGAAATTTCCTCTGCGAGCTGCACTGTTGTGGACTATAAATGATTTTCCTGCATTAGCTTACCTATATGGCTGGAGCACAAGTGGTACATATGCATGCCCATCATGTGGTCCAGCAACAAAATCATTTCACCTGAAGAATGGTAAAAAGATGTGCTATATGGGACATCGTAGGTGGCTCCCGTGGAACCACATATATCGAAGGCAAAAGAACCAGTTTGATGGCATGGTAGAGGTTGAACTTGCTCCTGAAATAATGAGTGGTACTTCTATTTTAAAAATGTTAGAAGGTAGAGTTTTTGTTTTAGGGAAAAAGGACCTCACAACAAAGAATACAAAGGGAAATAACAAAGGAAAAAAGAAAGGAAAGCAAGGTGATGAAAGCCATCAGAAATCCAAGCGTAAAAGAGGACAAAAGAAACAGAAAGATGGGAACAATGGCAAGAAGGAGAAGAAGCCAGAAGATTGGTTGAAAAAGCGGTCAATATTCTTTCAGTTACCATACTGGGAAAAGAACAAACTAAGGCACAATCTAGATGTGATGCACTTAGAGAAAAATCTATGTGACAACTTAATTGGAACTTTAATGGATATTCCTTCCAAAACAAAGGATGGTCTTAAAGCACGACTGGATTTAGTGGAACTTGGAATTCGACACAATCTTCATCCTGTGGTAGATAATGAAGGAAAGCAAACTGTGCCTGATGCACCTTTTACCATGTCTAGAGAAAAAAAGGAGGTTCTCTGTTCAGTATTCCAAAACCTAAGAACACCTGATGGCTATGCATCAAACATTTCTAGGTGTGTTAACATGAAAGATTGTACATTGACTGGACTAAAAAGTCACGACAATCATGTTTTACTACATGACATCCTTCCAGTGGCACTCCGATCCTGTTACCCCAGCAAAGATGTCATGGAAATAGTTATTGGAATATCTAATTTCTTTAAGAAGTTATGCTCGAAGGTGATAGATACTGATGAGCTACAAACCCTTCAAGAGAGTATTGTGGTAACACTCTGTAATATGGAGAAAATTTTTCTACCATCATTTTTTACTGTGACAGTGCACTTGATGGTGCATTTGGTAGAAGAAGTTAGACTTGGTGGCCCCGTTCACTACCGGTGGATGTACCCCATGGAGAGGTATGTAATTACATTTTGCAGGGTTATTGTCAATAATTTGTTCAACTAACAACAAGTGTTCATGATTTCATTTAGATTTTTTGTTCGGCTTAAAGCGCTTGTGAAGAACAGAGCTCAGCCAGAAGGTTCGATTGCTGAAGGGTATTGCATGGAGGAGTGCATGACATTTTGTTCCAGATTTCTTGATGGAGATACTCGTTTTAACAGACCGGCTAGAAATCCCGAACCTTCAGGCAATATGAAAGATATGTACATGTTTGAGAGTGCTGGAGAACCAATTGGAAAAGCTACTGTAAGCCATTTTGATAGCCAGCTTCTTATTCAGGCACATCGATACGTGTTGCGACACTGCGATGAACTTGAAGAATTCCGCAAGTGTGTACTATAATTTCTCTTGACTCTATTTTAAATTTTTATTATGTTGAAGCCATCACTGTATAACAAATAATCCATTGTTGTAGAGAGTTTGTGGATGAGGAGAAAGGAAAATCGTGTCCTTCAACTACTTTGACTCTGGCTTCCATCGATAAGTTGATAGACCAGCACTTCCCTGACTGGTTGGAACAGAAGGTAGTACAACTGAAATAGCTTATTAGGCGAGGAGTCTAATAGAATGAATTGATCTAATAATTAATTTCTTCACTACAGGTTATCCTAGGTGATGGACTAGGAATCACTAAAAAAGTTTGAGCTTTGGCTGCCAAACCGAGCAGACATGGTGTGAGATACAGCGGCTATATTATTAATGGTTTCAGGTTCCACACACTGAGTCGTGAGGCTGCAAGGTCGACACAAAATAGTGTAGTGAACATTGCAGAAGATGGGGTTAATTATTATGGCAGATTAACAGATATAATAGAACTGACATACACTGACTACAAGGTTGTTCTTTTCAAATGTGATTGGTATGATGTCCATCATCGTGCTGGTTTACGAAATGATGAGTTTGGATTACCACTTGTGAATTTTTCAAAGAAAATACACACCGGGGAAAAACTGGAGCATGATCCCTGTGTCTTTTCTTCACAAGTGGAGCAAGTCTTTTATGTTGAACACCCAAAAGCTGAAGGATGGAATTCTGTGGTAAGATTTAAGCCACGAGATACTTTTGACATGGGTGATGATGAACTGCCACCGGATGAAGCAAATTAGTATTATCAGGCTTTTTTTTGAGAGTATGTGGACAATTGAGTGCCACTAATTTTGACATACATAAATATAATAATAATTATTCAGGTTGCACTTATTACAAGGCATATTTGTTTCAGGTTACTCTTGTCTATGCAGGAGGGTGTGTGTTGCTCTGTTTCACCCAGGTGATGGATGTGTTCCTGCATGATGCTTAGTTTCTGTAGGCTGCTAGCATGTGTTTTCTTTGTAATATGTTTTTTAAGAAGTTTCATTTACAATTGGTGGTCTAAGTGAGAAATCAATGCCACTCACATGTAATGCTTGAATTATTGAGAAATTGAGTCCAGTAATTTATAGATTGGTCGTATGATTGAGAAATTGAGGTTAGTCATATGATTGAAAAAGCAGCATGTGTTTTCTTTTGCTTGAATCTTTGAGTGAAAATTATGAAATTGTTGAGCGTGTGAAAATTTTGGAAAAATATGGGGAAAAACATGTATTTTATTTGGCTTGAATTGTTGCGAGAAAATTATGGAATGTTGAGTGTGAGAACATTTTTTTATGAATAATATGGAAAAAATATAGGCAAGGAAGTTTTGACCTCTTGACCACGTGTAGAGAATTAGGGAAAGGTTACCACAACGCTACATGTTCAAAAAAAGCATTTTTAGATAGTTATTGACGGTAAGCTGATACACTTTATCACGTATCTACAAGCATGTAACGGTCAAATAGAGTCTAATTTTGTGTTAGCTTGATATGTTTTTATTATCGTATCAAAAGGTGTCTTTACGTGCCTATAAACAATTGTTTGATACGTTCTGTGACGTGTCTAGATGGTACAAACGATATGAAGCATCTCTATATCTATAATGTTTTGTGGCGTTTTTAGTATCGTGACAATTAGTGTGTTTAGATATATATGGACGGTGTTATGACACACTTTATAACGTGTCTAGACGCTATTGATGATTAAAAGCATGTCTAACACCGTGTCATTTTGATACATTTCCAAAATCGTCTCGAGAAGTGTCTTTACATGTCTTGTAACAGTGAAAGCGTGTCAAATGTCGTATCCAGTTGACACGTTTCCAAAGTCGTGCTTAGAAGCGTCGTTACGTGCCCATGTACATACGCTTTCAACCAGCGTCACAAAGAAAACGTGTCTAGAGGGGGGTGTTTCTTGTAGCGCTTCTGACCAAATTGGCAGCGAAGGCCGACTCAGTTCCTAATTTCTCTTTGGTGGATGGCCTCATACATTATAAAGACAGACTGTGGGTGGGCAACAACACATCCCTGCAACAACAGTTGATTGCGCAGATACATAGCTCTCCTATTGGCGGTCATTCGGTAATTCCAGCCACTGTCAAGCGGCTGCAGGCCCTCTTTGCCTGGCCCGGTCTCAAGAAACATGTTCATGACTTTGTGAAGAGCTGCCCTACATGCTAGGAAGCCAAGCCTGAGCGAGTTAAATACCCAGGCCTCTTACAGCCACTCCAGACACCTTCAGCAGCCTAGCAGGTGATATCACTTGACTTCGTTGAAGGGTTGCCCCAGTCACATGACTTCAACTGCATTCTGGTAGTTGTTGACCTTTTTCTCCAAATATAGCCATTTCGTTGCCATGAAACATCCCTTCAGTGCCCTTTCGGTGGCCAAGCTCTTCATGATTCACATTTACCGGCTCCATGGTCTTCCAACTGCGATCGTCTCAGATCGTGACCGCATCTTCCCCAGTCATCTGTGGCGTGAGCTGTTCCGTCTCTCCGGGGTGGAGCTGAGAATGAGTTCAACATATCATCCTCAGTCCGATGGACAGACTGAGCGTGTGAACCAATGCATGGAAACCTTCCTCCGGTGTTTTGCAAACGCAGTACCCTCTAAATGGTTTGACTGGCTACATTTGGCAGAATTTTGGTACAACACCACATGGCATTCCTCTTTACAGCAATCACCATTTCAGGCACTCTATGGATAGTCTCCTAGACAGTTGGGTATTGATGCATCTGCTGCATGTGCTCCGGACTCTTTAGCTGAGGTGATGCAGCAGAAGTCTGCTATGCAGGCATTGATCCAGCAACACCTTGCTCGGGCCAAGAATCGCATGAAAAGTCAGGCGGACAAGAAACGAACAGAACGGTCCTTCAATGTGGGTGATTGGGTCTATGCTAAGCTCCAGCCCTATGTCCAAACATCAGTGGCGCCTCGCGCTAACCAAAAGCTGGCTTACCGTTTCTTCGGGCCGTACCAGATTATGGACCGTATTGGTTCTGTCGCCTACAAGTTGCTTTTGCCCGGAGAATCCACCATTCATCCGGTGTTTCATGTTTCGCAGCTGAAAGGTGCTGTCCTAGTTGCTCTTCCTTCCTCTCCATTACCAGTTTCATTCACTGGCCTGCAGGTTCCTGAGCGTATTCTTCAGAAGCGAGTCGCCAGCACAAATTCAGGTGTTGATCTCCAAGCTTTGATTCAGTGGTCGGGGCTACCCGCTGCACTGGCAACATGGGAGGATGTTGAAGCCCTTCGTCAACGCTTTCCGCACGCACCAGCTTGGGGGCAAGCTGGTTCCTATCAGGGAGGGGATGTCAGCGGCACTTCTACCTCAGCTTCTGAACATGGCGGCAAGACAATCGACGTCGCTCAGGAGCGTGAACGCGACGTCGCCCAAACTGAATATGTCATCCTGGGCCCAAGGCATGGTATGCGTATGAAGAAGCAAAGTGTTCGAACCCAAGGCCCAGAGTGGGCGTGACCAGCCCAGCTGAAGATGGCATGAGAGAGTAGCTTAAGTAGCCGAGGGAGAAGGGGAGACATCATCAAACAACAGAATACTTGTAATATTGTTAAGCACTCCTCTGTTCTATGAACTTCGTCTGAACTTGCTGTGCTCTTCGATCTGTATTCTGTTCTTCCGATTCCCAACCGTGCCGTTAATGGCTCGCAGGAGCCTCGACGACGGGAACAGGTCCTCGGCGCCCCACGTCATGGCCTTAGGCCAGAGTGGCCATGAACTCGTCCCGCCACCTGAACCGCTCGCCCATGATGGCGCGCAGGACGGTGTCGGACACGTACCGGGATACCAGCTCGCTGACTTGACCAACGACTGATGACGCTCGCCGGAGCGCACGTCCGTGGCGATGGCGCGGGCGAGGTGCGCGGCCTCATCCTCCCGGATGGAGCGGAAGGATCGAACGCGCCTTGCTCTCAGAAGCTCCGTCGTGCAGATCCTGCGGAGCCTCCGCCGCATGGCGCCGTGGGGCGACAAGACGAGCCCCACCTTGTCTCCGATGGTGGCTCTGACGGTCGCGGTCATGGTCCGGGTGGCGAAGTTGGTGTCGTTCTCCCTGATGACTTCGCGTGCAGCGTCGGCCGACGAGACGACGACGGCGTGCAGCTCGCCTAGCCGGATGTACATGACGGGGGCGTCCGAGCGGCGTGCGAGGACGGCCAAGGCACGGTGCACGAGGCGTGGATTTTCCATGGTCATTAGGTGATGGAGTGTGCCAATTACCGGGAGCTGCCACGGTCCCGGCGAACCTTGTCCCTGGCGCAGAAGGTAGACAATGCAGATCGAGGAGTACTAGAGCTAGGAGGACGAAGAGCATAATAATCATATATATGCACAGCTCCATGGCTTTGCTCCACTATGTTGTTAATGATGTAAACAAGACGAGGAACTGGGCTAATATAATGAACGTGTAAATTCAGCCTCAGGCTGTATATTTATGGATAGAGTTGTAACACCGGGAGGAAATAGATGCCGTGTCTAAGGGCATCTCCAATAGTTTCTAAAATAAATCACTTGGTAAGTTAATGAGTTTTTCAAATGACTAAAAAAAATTGGAACTGTTTTTAAAATCTCACTCCAAATAAGATAACTTTGCATCAAGAATCACGAGCTATTTCTAAATCACTTTAACCACTTTTATACTTTCCTTTTCTCTGGTACATTTACTTTAGAAACCTGTCATACTCCTTATTCTTCCTAATATCCTTTCACCTTTGGATTGCCTGATGGATACGTGCGCTGCGAGAGAGCATTTCCATGAGTTTCAAAAAACCACTCCCAGTCTTAATTTTTTGGCAAGATCGAAAAAAGTGCTCTCCAACAACTCTGTACTTAACTCCCAATCTTTTCGCACTTGGAAAAATCAACCTAGTCACGTAGAAATATACACACGCATATCTATCGACCAATCTAGAGGTGGAAGGATATGGTGAAAAATAAAGAGGATAGGACTCCCAATGCAAATATACAAGAGAGAAAGAAAGTATAAAAACAGTTAGGGTGATTTGGAAATAGTCTAGGTTCTTGATGCAAAATAATTTTCACCGCACCATAAATCCAGGAGTAAAATGCACCAGTGGCCCGTAAACTTGGCAGAGGGTATCAACTAGATCCCCAAACTCCGAACTCCTAAAATGCATATCCGCACTACTACACAAAAATTTTTACAAGGCGTTTCCAAAATGGGCTCCGAGGCGGTTGGGCCGGTTGCCCGCCTCGGTTATTCATGACAAGGTAGCCGGCTCAACAACTGCCTCGAATCATTAACCGAGGCGGGCAACCTAACGTGCATTAACCGAGGCGGTTGCCCTCCTAAAATCTATTAATGGCTCTAAAAATACCTCCATTTTTGGAGGCGGACCTCTAATAAGGCCCGCCTCGGTTAATATTCTCGAGACCCAGAAAAAGCCCAAATCAGGTTCTTCTCGGGCTCATATAAATACGAGGACTTAGGGTTTCACTTAACTCTAGCTCTCTCTCTTTCACAGCGCCCCTGCACGGCGCCCCTCTCCTCCCGATGCAGCGCACTTCCCTCTCCCCGGCGGAGCCCACATGATCTCTCCTCACATCCCCTCCCACTCCCTCTCCCAGCTCGGCGGCCCTCCACCTCTCCCTGGCGGCGCCCCACCACTCTCCTCCCCTCCCCTCCCCTCCCACTCCCTCTCCTAGCCCGGCAGCCCTCCACCTCTCCCCTCTTGGCGGCGCACCTCCTCTCCCAGCCCGGCGGCCCTCC